AGCCTGTTAATGCATGGATTTTCTGCCTTGAGTGATTTCTTAAAATCAATAACTCATTAAAAAGGAAAAAAAGAGCTCAATTCTCACAATTCATAACCATGCAAATGACAGGCTGCCTTCAGGAAGAGCAGCTGGCTGAGTTGGAGCAGTGGGTTTGGAGGATGGTGTGTTCGGTGTTTGTTCGCTTGCCCTGACTGCAGTTTCATTTTTGCTTCATGAGAAAAACGATTTTAACATCACTATTCATTCATTAATTCTTAAGAGTAATGCTCTGCTGGCAGAATGGCTAACCAGTTGCTAAAAATAGGGTCCACTGGTGAATCCTTTAAAAATATGACTACATCTCTCTTTTAGCAAAGAGTAAAAGTGTAAATCTTCAAAATCACAATCTCTAGGAATCCTTTATGCACATTATAATTCCTCAGCAAAGTGTCAGATAACGTGGAAGGGGAGGAAGCTTTCCATCCCAAGTGTGTAAAGCATCACAGTCATTAATTTATTGACTGAATTGATCTGACTTTTAAAAGACTCCCTGGCTTGGCATCAGTGTTCTGTTTATCTCACGAGCAATGAATCTCTTCTTCCTCCCTGTGTGTAAATACTTAATAGCTGTAAACACTTAATAGCTGTAAACTTCAGAGCTCAGACCTTGCTGGAACTGTAAGTATTGTACTTCAAAGTACATTTGGACTGAAGTTTTCTTTTTCTCCTGCTTAGATCTCAAGTTGCTGCACTATCTGCTCTATTTGACTTTCTTAGTGGCTTGGAAACCGTGTCAAATGTTTTTCAGAGCATTAGTCCTTTTTTCAGGGTGATTTTTCTGGCACCCAGACATATTAATTTAAAATATTTAGGTTTTTTTTTTTTTTCAAGCGCACCGACAGGATTTAGAATGCTCCACAGGATGCCTCTTTCCCAAAATTTTTCCATATGGTGCATGTCAGCAGCACAGCTTCAAGGAGTGTCTTCTCATCTTGCTTTCCACTCAGCTTGAGTTTAACAGGTGTCTGGAACGCCCCAGAGTAGGGCAGGATTAGTGCCTGGGATCTGGGAATAACGAGAGAAGGCAGTGGGGCGTGGGGGGAAGGAAGGTAACTGCAGAAGATGAACTGGTTCCAAAGGACACCCTCAAGCAAAGGATGGCAAAAGAATAAAATTAGGTAGATTTAACTTTAGTGTGAGAAAGAGCAAACCTTGCATGACAGCAGGGACTTATATGGTTTAATGAATTACTGGAAGGTTGGGAGAATAAGACATGCCCTCTCTAGAAGAGGCTCGGGAAGGGCTGAGGGAATCCTGATCCCAGTAATAAATGTCTCTATCTCAAATGAAAAATGCAGCCAGTAGTATGACCAAGCATTCCTGAATGCCTGTGTCCTGGATTCCTAGCCCTTGGAGGCCAGTGGAAGAACTGACAGAGCAGGGATAGTCCAGCCAAGGGAATTAAACTCAGATATTATCCTATTTGTTTTGTGAGAAAATTATAAGGAGCTGTTCCAGGAGCAGCAGAAGCTCTGTTTTCCATGGAACCATATCCTTGGTCTCCCATGCACTTCCTGGGGACCTTCATGAGCCCCCCAGGTCCACTCATGACCAGAAGGGCAGCTCCTGCTGCATCTGCTGTGGAGCCCCACATGTGCTGATTGGAAGGCTGGAAATAAGCTGTTTGTACTGCCTGGACAAGTAGCCATTGATCCCACACCTTCCAGGAGATTTTCCTCAGCTGGGGGCACTAATTTAGGTCTCTGTCCTCTGTGCAATGACAAGAGCTGCAGGAACATAATTATCTCCAAATCTTTTGCTTCTCCCCTGACAACTTGCATTGCAATGGGGCAGTGGGTTTGAATGTTATTAGGGGCAGACAGGAACAGACAGCCAGCGTGGCTGCATAAGCCCTATTTCCATAGGAAATCAAGTGGAAGAGTTTGTACAGTTTATATACAACACAACATGGTTTGTGTCTGTCCTGTTACCTTGAAGGTTGTTGTTGTAATTCTGTGTTCCATTCTGGTGCTTCATCTCATCTAGAGTTTGCAAAAATACTGCTTTGGACCTTTTGTGATTTGTTTTCCTGCAATCTCAGAGGGACGTAGGACTGGAAGGGGCGTCCTGGGTCAGCGTGCCCAGCCTCCTGCCGAGGTATATGAACTGTAAAAGTTAAAAAGAGAAAAATACTGTATCATAAACTTCTGATTGGTACAGTGGGAAAGTTAATGAGACAAATGAAACCTTCCGTGTGGCCTTTGCAAATCTGAAAGTCACAGCGTGGGGCAGTCCCCTGGCAAATCTTGGGTCATTACCTTATCTGCTGCAGTAACTGCCACGGGGAAATGTCACAGGATGAAGGAATTTTCCCCTTTACAGATCCAGAGTATGAAGAATTCACATTTTCTTCAGCCTGGGGTAAAGATTGTCAGATTTTTTTCATGTGTAAAAGGAGTATTAAAACATTAAACATATTTACAGGGGAAAGAGGAGATAACGTCCCTTAGCTTTTAAATGTGGTTGAGTGACAGTAAGGCATGTTCAGCATTCTGTAGGATTTTCCTAAACAAAACAAGAACCCAGAGGAAACTAAGACAATAGTTAAAAGAAGGTTGCCAGATTCTTATATACAGGTCACGTGGGAACAATAGTATCAGTACTTTCTGAAGCTGTATTATAATGACTGAAAGAGAACCTGATGATGTAAAAGCAAAAACCATAAATGCCTGTGTTTCAGAATTTGTGCTGTTTACCTTTATCTGTGAACTGGTTGCCAGTGTTAAATGCACTTCTTTATTATATGTAGGTACTTGCAGATTGCTCAGGACACTTCTAGACACTTTTGCATTTTTTAAACTGTGTTTGAAAATAGAAAGATAATTTTGAAAGTGTTTTGGATCATTTCCCTTTTTGAAAGTAAAGTCAATACGTAATCCAAGCATTGACATTTTTAATGTTTTCTGTGGAATAGCTTTAGGATGAACTGGGAAGTCCACTGACTGCCTTCAATAGTGCTTTTGGCTTGATTTTTTAATTTTACGTCTTTGCCCTTTCATCAGAGTTTGGTCCAGCAAACCAGGGACTACTTTAAGCTCTTCCATTGAAATACTGGAAGCTGTGAGTAGTTTTAAGCCTTCAAACAGACTCTTTGACTTTGATTTCACTGTTTGCATCCTCGAGCATGAAGTGTACGTTAAATACTTCCTTGGGCTGTCCTGTGCTTCAAACCTGAGCTCTGAGCACTGGTAGGACTGAGGGTGATAAACTGAGCTCCCTGTTCAGAGACACCCAGACTTGAAGTGTGCAGTGAACTCCATTCTGTGAGCAGTCCATGAAATCATGATAAGAAAGATGAAATTTGCAGCTTTATTTCAGAAAAGCCCATTCGCTATAAAAAATTGCATGCTTTAGTAGAATTAGGCAGCTTTAAAAAGTCATTCCAGGGTCTGAATCATTAAACTTTGGACCTTTAAAGGTATTTAACTGTTAAACTCCTGACTGAATGGAAACCTATTTCTGGAATGTTGTAGTTATTTTGTTTTAAGGTGTTCAGAATGAGCCCAGTCTTTTAAACACTGTGTTAATGCTTGTGGTACGTTAATTTTTAACAAAGAGGTTTTCTTCATGAAAAGCACATTTTCTGCCCAACAGAATTTGATAGTGTTTTCCATTAAAACTCTGAAGACTGGTAAATTTGATATTGCTGCTAAGTTTGCTCAGTCAGGCTCAGCCTTCAGAAAAAGGCTTTCTTGTGGAAGGGAGGAAAGGGCTGTTTAAAATCTGTCACCCAATGGAGGGGTCCCGACTGCTTTCCATTAGTGGGTTGCCCTTCATGGCTCTGTGGGAATGGCTTTAGGCAGGTGTGACTCATTTGTATGACTCTGCTTTGGGGAACCAGCTCACCAGCTGGTTTGGAGCTTAGTGCTCTGCTCTAAGCCTCACCAGGACCCTTTTCTAAGCCCACCTTACCCTTTACTCATCCCATCTTAAATTGCATCCCTCACACCATGACTGATGATCCCAGCCTGTCGCTGCTCCTCTTTGTCCAGCCACCAGCAGCTAAATTCCTTTCCCCACGAGCCTCTGCAGAACCAGGCCTTTGTCACTGTAGCTGGGCAGGCAGGTTAAGATTTTTGTCCCAGTTTTTCTTTGGGTAAGTGCATTATCTCCCATCCTTCTGCTGGATCAAGATCAACAACGTCTTTGAAAAAAATATATGTGCCAGTCCTGCTTGCTTCACCTCAGGGTAGAACTGAGTTGACTTGGGTAGAACTAATAAAAAAGATTGAAGCCAGTTGGCCAAATCCTGTTTTCAGTCAGCATTATATAAACTACTTTTACTCTGTTGAAGTCAGCAGAGAAAATCCAGCACGATATTTTATATTGGCTTCTGGGATAAGTGCGAAAGCAATTAAAAATTCTTTTTATTGTTAGGTGTTATAATGCCTTATAAAAGCACTTACATTAGGCATCATCAGCTTTTGAAGGAACCAAGTCCCAAAATAGGTCCATGGTCTGTAGTGTGCCAGAGCTACAGCTGAAAATTCCTGCTGCTTCCCTAAAAATGCCTTTACCTACTGCATTCCATTGCTTTTTGGGAGAAATACTTGCCTAAAGAAGGACCTGAAAAAGTAGTTGTGCATATGCATCACACTCAGAGCAGGGAAAATTCCTACTGAAGTTTTGTCACCCATGTTTTAGACACTTAAATTATGATAAATAGCAAGAGAACATCACCTTCAGTTTTATCCTTATGTTAATAATTAACAGCCCTATCCCCCACATGGTGTTTAATATAGGCAATACATGGAGGGGAAAAAAGTATATTCACTTAAAATTCAATACTGTATTTACAGTACTGCTTTCCCATGCTTATTTTAGGGTCATTTGGGAAAAAAGCTTGAACTCCAAAAAAAAAAAAAAAAAAAAAAAGAATGGATTGCTATTCTGGGAGTTAGATTGTCACTTAATAAATATATTTCTGATAATAAAAATCGGTGTCGTTTTCCTTGCAGGGACTTATTCGGAAGAAAGTTAATAAAAACTGCATGGAAAAACCAGCATCACAGCTATTTTTTTTTTTCTGCCTGAAATTCCTACAGGGAAGTTAGCTGAATGCAAAAAGTATGGAGAAAGAGAGAAACATTCCATTGGTCCTTAAAGCCCAAAGGTAAGATTCTCTTCCTAAAGATACTATTAAGCAAGGTAGCTCCCAAGAACCTTTTAAATACCTTTTTTTTTTTTTTTTTTAAGAACAAAGACTTAACTGGCCCTGCTGATGGGAAAGTCATAATGTGGCTTTTTTTTCCTGATGGCTTTCTATTCTTTGCATGTGTGACAGATGTCAATGAAGTTGAAAAGTGTCCATTTCCCAGCGGGATGCTGGCTGTTCCCCAAAATGCCTGGGCAGTTTATAGAGGCCCTAATATCTCCTGATGGTGATGGAAGGATTTGTAGGGAAAGATTCCTGCCGGGCAGGGGCCTGCTGCCTTTGAATAGAAGGCAGCCAGCAGCTCTACAGGCCCCAGCAAGAGATGCCACTGCACCATCAGGAAACTTTGATTTATTATCTGAGAAATTCACCATCCATCTGCATGAAGGGGTCACAGAAGCAACTTTCCTAATGGGAATCTGAGACCCCCATTATTTCCCACTTATTGCTACAAGCATGAAAAATTGCTCCAACTGAGAGAGTTGGACTTTCAGGACTTGTTGCCATGGTTGGATTTATAGGAATATTTAGGAGCAATGCTTAGTGGTTTTTTGGTGGGTTTGTGTTTTTTTTTTTGAACCTATAAACTCCAACAATTTTCACAGGTTTTTGCTAATTAATGCCACCACTGTGGAAATGGGAGCAGTTCTGCAAACAAGCTGGGACAAATGGGATTTTTATTGCCAGTGGAAAAGCCCAGGGAATAATTAGCGGGTCCACAGAGATCTCCTGATTACAGACATCTGCATTGGTAATGTCCAGACACAAAGATCCCAGAGGGAAATGTTTCGGGATTTTCACCTTAGGGCACATTTATGTTGTCAGCTACACCCTTCAAAATGCAGTCGGACATATGTGGGAAAATATTTTGTGAAATGTTAGACTGAGGAACCTGATGTTGACTAATCTGGACTGGGGAAGCTGGCTTTGCTTTCCAAAGTACTGTCCAGCAGCCAAGACTTGCAGATGTAATATTTTGATATCTCATTAAGCCTGATTTCACAGAGATATTTCTCAGTGCTGCATCTGAGTTGCCTGAGATGCTTTTGCAGTTATCGCTGCTTTGGTGAGTAGGATGAAGAGGAAACAACAAGACTGATTATTAGAACACCACATGACTCCTTGAAAATGAAGCACTGAAAAAAAGAAGTCATGTCAAGACAGGATTTATTAGTTCAGGTTGAAGAGTAACTTGATTTGGGATTTTCCTCTTGCCAAAGTGATTCACAATATAAATTATGGATCTACTTATAGAAGCGGTCGAGGTTCTGTCTTTTTTTAAAACAGCACACTTTTAAACTAGCTAATAAAATATTAATTTCAGGCCTTTGAAGCAGAACTTTGAGCTAAAGGTTTTTTAAAAACCACAATTATTTTCATTTGTATGGCATTAGAGCACAGTTGCCCCAGTCCTAGACCGGTTCGTGTTGTATTAAATACCATATAAATCCCAAACAAAACTCATTCCTTTCCTGAAGAACTTACAGCATAAAGGTTTGCTTGCTTTTACCAGTTGTGTTTGTATATAGAATTTAAAAATAAATTAAATTTACAATGCCTATGATTTTAAAATATCCATGACACAAAGTAGACCTGTCTTGCTTAGAATCTCTCTGTGATGGGATCTTCAATCCCACAAGCCTTGCAGCAGAAAATGCCCTTAAATTTGTATTTAAGCCCATCCTTCTCCAGGAAAACCATTAAGCAAATGATTAATTTTAAGATACATTTCAGTCCCAGTGGCATCATTTATCCTACTCACTGGTCAGGCAGTCACTTACAACAAAGTTAAGTACTGAGCAGACCTAATTGTGAATCAAGGCTGCCCTTCAAAGTGTCGTGAGAAGCAAAAATAATTCTCCTGGCTTTTAAGCCACTACATACACAATACACAGTGAGAGCTACATCCAGTAATGCACCAACATATTTCCACAGACCTCTCTTGGCTTAGCTTTTCTGCTCTCTCTGTGATGAGGGGTGGGGGTAGAAGGAATGAAAGGTCGGGAAAGAAGGAGAATTCAGAATTGCTGGGGATATTTTTGCTCCCTGATAACCCCTATGACAAGTACATGTATATTCATGGGCACTGAGTGCTGGAGCCTGTATTTGTTGCTGTCTGACCCAGGATATTTACAGAGATATGAAGCAACCTCAGAATGAGGTTTTTAATAACCTTACTCTGAGTTCTTATGAAGTCTTTCCAGAAGTCCCCAGAGATGCCTGTGATCACATGTATCTTATTGTCACCGCCTTGGACAGATGGGAAAGTCCCCAGAGGAATTGCTTCAGAGTGGTGTTTACTGCTCAGGATGTGGGCTGCGATGACACTGGTTTTGTGGAACATTTGCACTGGTTTTGGGGTGCAGGTGAAAGAACACTGTAGTTTACAGTGCCCTGCAAACAGGATTTTCATTTATTCTGGATAGTCTTTCAAAGTGTAGGCTATTTACATGCACAGTCCAGGATGACTTTGAGCTCCAAGTTGGTCCATTTTTCAGCTGCGTTTAAGGAAGTGGTTGGCATTGGTTAAAGGGATGAGTGTGTGGCATGTGTATCTGCTGTTCAGAAATATGATATGAACTCCTGTAAATAAGGTATTTAAACATAAATGTGTTTGACTGTTTTCTAATGAGCCTTGTTCACAGGCCCTGCAGGGTTAATTAGGTTCCTAGATCTTATCTTTACTCTATTACACTAAAGGCAAAAACCTCTACAGGAACTGAATCCACTCAGAAAGAGCAAATAAACTGGCTCTAAATGATCACAAACTGACCAAGCTTTTCTGCTTCAGCTCCCTGTATGCCTTCAGGCAATTGGGATTTAAAAGCACCGAGATTACAGGACCATAAAAAATACACATTTACATTTACGTGTGGTCACATGCAAAATTTAAGATTTAGAGAAAGCCACAAAGGGAATGTTTAACATAAGTAGCGAGGCACAAGCTGAATTAATGACACAGCAGCCCCAGCAGAAACACAAGAAAAACATGTAAACCTTCATCTATTATTAGTTGCTGTAGCCCACACTCCAGAGCACAAGGACTTGTGGTCATTAAAGCCTGTTGTTTTCCAGGAGATCTTTTAGCTGCCTCATGACTGGGAGCTGGGCAAGCCCTGAAGTGGAGTGAATTTACATGTGAGAGTCCTTGTTTTGAATTTTGTTCATTTGTTGGATGATTAAATCACTAATAACGTTAAAAGAGTAGCCAGAACCCTCTCCCCACCACTGCCAGGGTGGGGACACTGCAGGAGGGTTCTCCAGCCTGTCTGGCTGGACATCCTGGGATGGCAGAAGGATGCAGACAGTGCTCCCAGGATGTGCATCACCTCCTCTAGCACTGACAGGGGTTTGCATTCCTGCAGCCCCTGGCCATGCAGGCAGACCTTTTGTCCCAAGCCTTGCACATCTGCTACAGGCAATTCAGGAGCTTGTAGCAACTACAAGAGCATGTAGTGACAGGAGAAGGGGGAATGGCTTCAAATTGAAAGAGAGTGAGTTTGGATTAGGTGTCAGGAAGAAATTCTTGTCTGTGAGGGTGGTGAGGCCCTGGCACAGGTTTCCCAGAGAAGCTGTGGCTGCCCCATGCCTGGAAGTGTTTAAGACCAGGTTGGATGGGGCTCTGAGCAACCTGCTCTAGTGGAAGGTGTCCCTGTCCACCTTTGGGGGGATTTGAATGAGATGGTCTTTAAGGTTCCTTCCAACCCAAACCAAACCATTCTGTGATTCTATGTTCTGTTCCCTTAAAAGTCCTGTGATGTAATGTAATGCAGACACATTCTGATGGAAAGCTTCAGGAGTAGATTCTGTCTGTTTTTCCACATGTTGGTACCACACCTAGCAAACTGGCTTTCATTCTGACACGTTGGCTTCCCAATGCAGCTGTAGCACAAGTAAATGTTAGAGATGAAGAGAAACAAATTTGCTTTTTAATTTTTCTTTTTCCTCGCCTTGACACCAATGTCTTTGCAAGAAGTACGTATTTTTTTCACAGGAGTGTCCTGTCAGGGAAGGCTGGTTCATTTTAAGCAAATCTGAGTTCTGGTTGTGTAATTATGGATCTGCTCACGTGAACATGCACAAGAAGAACATGGAGGAGTTCCCAGGGGAAAAGTAATGAAGTCTGTTTGTCTTGCAAAAGCTATGTTGTATTATGATATAGCAAAGGATAGCATGAGAATTTCTCATGCAGGACATTCTTCAGGAATAAAACTCAACTGTCAGATGAGTTTCAGAAACCAGTTGTCCTGTTGGAAATTTTTCCTCCTAGAAAAAGTTTATTTGTTTAGTTCCTTTGCATATTGCAAACTACTCACCACCTTAAGCAGAGTCTGCTCCTCAGCTGGTCCAGCTCAGCGCAATAATGGAGATCAATAGTGCTGCTACTTAATACCAGCCCTGAATTTAGAATGCTAATTATTTAACCTTGCCAAGTGGAACGTGGTGTATTTTTGACACCACAGTGGTAGGGAGCTCAAGCTGTAGAGAGGGATCCCACCACATCAGGCACTGCATAAGCAAAGGGGGAAAAGGACATTCTCTTATGCATGCACTTATTTTTTTTTGCACCTAATTAGACTAATTGAAAGCTGTGGGCCTCCTGATGTAGTGAAAGTTAAGCATTTGCAGAAATCCTTACAGGATGAAGGAATAAAGACATGGATTGTAAGACTGAGAAAAGAAGAAAAATCAGAAGGTCATGTTGTTTTCTCCTAGGATTTGTTATGATTTACTGTCATTACATATTATGTAAACAGTCACTGTTTCCATGAAGTGGGAGGTCCTGGTAATCTCCTGTAGCTATTCAGCATTGTTTGTGAATTTAACCAGAAGTGTGCCTCCTTACTGCACTGGAATGATCAGGGATCTGTATACCCTGTAGCCTTGGGTTATGGCTGTGACCCCATTAAATGTGTAGGTGGGGTCTCCCTATTAAGTCAGTAAAGCCAAGGCAAGTCTGAGATGATTTCCATGCTTCCTGCTGTTGTTGCCTCCTTAGTGGATGCTCTTGACTCATCCAGATTAGCAACTGCCTGGCCTCAGGGCCCGTGAAAATACTCTGGAAGGATACTTTCTTTTTGAACTTTAGGGAATGACTGAATGGCAGGTGTGTTTAAAAAAAAAGCAAATAGAGAATTAAGCCTCCTCTTTTTTCCCTTGTTTCCTTCTAAATCCTTTACTAAACTGCATCTTTACTTCATCCCCTTCCAGCAGAACCTGTATCACTTAGTCATACAGGCTGTCCACACTTTCTTCAACAGCAAAGGCAAAGCAATTCTAGCAAATACCTTGCTCATAGTCTTGTGTTCCTCCTGTTGCAAATCCCTGCCTTCTGGAGTTTGTTCCCTCACCTGTGCCCAAAGTTCCACTGACATCAGTGTGAGACTTCCCAGGACATCTGAGAGTAATTTATTAATTCCTCTTTCCAGGAGTGATTCCTTCAGTGCTGCCATTCCAGTGGAGATTGCAGCAAGGTCTCCTTCCATACCAGTTGCTGCACTGGTGTAGATCCTCTGGCACCGATTCCTGTCCCTGGGAGTTGTCCCAGCTTGATGTCTGCAAGGATGTGGCGAGAACTGCACTTCAGTCCTGTGCTTGCTCACTGGGCTGCCAAACATGCACACTTCACTGGGCTCTGGAGAGCACTCTTCTTTTGTGGGCATGTGATCCACCTGACTAGGTAGGCCAGCAGCTGTGGGATTGTCCATCTGCTGGTCCTCCAGATTAAACATTAGCCCTCATGTCTCCTCTACAGCAAGGAATTTTCTCCAAATACGCTTCTCAAAGAACATTTCTTCCTTCTCCTCTTCTACACCAGCAATACTGTGAGACAGGTGATCCACGTGGGCAGGGTGGGAACTTAAGCATGCAACTATCAAAAAATAGATCTTATTCTTTGGGTGGATTTTTAAATGTAATTGCTCTTCAGTGGTGAATGAAACAAAGCACACAGTTACAGCAAGATGACTACACAGTGTTAGAAGGGGAATCCTGTCACATCTACAGGGTGAAGGCTTCTGGGCTGTGAGCTGGTGAGGTCTCCCCAGGAGGCAAATGCTTCACGGAGAACCTCTTCCACGAGAAATCTTTTAGCTTCTTATGGCTTTGTTGCTACTTCTGCTCTACACTGACCATAAATATTTATTTATCAATGCTGCTAGAATTTTTAACTTCTGTAGATGGGGATGTTTGAGCTGACTGTGGGGTTTTTTTCCAGCTGACATAGAGAGAAATATTTGAAATAGATTTAAGAAATGGAGTCGTTGTTAATTTGTTTCTTTAGGGCTCCATTTTCCTCGTGCAAGTTATTCGTAGCTCCCACTGAAGCCAATAATTTCCTAGTCCTTCAAGGCAGGAAAGGCACTGAAGTCAATAGGAATTATTTGTATCCTGCAGTGGGGGAATAAGCCTCCTTGAAAACTGTGGATCTCCTGTTTGCCATAAGCAATCCATAAGTGCATTGTCAGTAGTAAGTCATTTCAGGATTTGCAGGAATCACTATTATTATTTAAGTGTACCTGTGCTATCATTCTCACTTCTTTCTGATATAAAAGTAACTGATGCAAGTTATGAAATTACCTTAATATATAGATTTCTGCTGACACTCAGTTTATGGCTTATCTTTAATTGCCTCTGTTAAAGCACTTGTTGCCCTGAGATTCAGTGCTATGTCCAGGCCTGCTGCAGATCTCCTCAGAATTTCACCCATTGCTCGTGAGAATTTCAACTTCTGGATAAATAAATATTTTGGGTCAGGTCTTAAAAACACAGAAGTCCTTATTCACATGTTGTTTTTGGAACGTGCCCATGTCTTAGTGGAACTCTCATACCACAATAGCTGATGGAAGAAATAGAGAAATGTAACTTCATGTCTCAGCTTCGAGGGTCAGAGGGGAGGGGAGGAGATGGGAGAAGGAGTCGACAGATCCAGTGACTGAGCTTTTCTCTGCAGGGGAATAAAAAGGGTTTAGCAGTGACAGAAAGTAGAACAAGCACAGTGTCAAATGCATCTTCCAAAGAGAGCAAAAAATCAGATCAGGCTAAAACAAACTTATGTGGCAGCTCAGGGGGAGCTGCAACTAGCTGAACTCCCCCCCTCCTGTCCCTCTTGGCCTTTTGTTCTAGGAACAGATGTCCCTTCTCCCCCAACTGTCTTCTAGTTTCAGAATTAAGAACTTGGGCTCTGAACTTTTAATTCGTGATTGCCTTTGTAAGCTTCTCTATTCCTGGATTTTGAGATTCTTTGTTATTCTTCTAATTATCAATCCCTTCCTGTATTGCTTGTGTAAAAGAATAAAAAAGACTGGGCTTTGCTGACTTGTTGGGCCCATTCTGTACAATCCCCACTGCCCAGATATTTAACCCTTTATCCAATTTCCAACAGTACACAAGGAGAAGAGGTTTCTGGAGCAGGATGCTTCCTGTCTTCAGGAAGAAAAATTATGTGGTACTTTACAGACAGAAACAGTTTGAAAACATCTTTAAATAGCAGAATTGAAAATTGATCCAGAAAAAAGAAATGAGAGGAGAGAAAACCTTTGGGATAAAGTGCCTAGTGTTTCATGCCACCAAGAGAGATAAGGTTTTGTTAAATATATTCATTTTAACAGCTGTTTTTGACAGTGCCAAAGACATTTTCCACACTCCTGCTAGTGAACTATGTCTCTGTTATTCTTAATTCTCTTCCAGACCTCTTAAAAGAAGGAGGTACAGACTGAGTGATCAGACACCCAGAACAGGCTTGTGGGACTTGGAAAATGGATGGGAAAAGTCAGATGTGGTTGCTGGGCAAGCAGAGGGTGTCTGGATAGATCTGTGGTCACTGTGGGCTCGGGTTTGGCACTTTCACCCCACGAGTGGGTGCTTTGGTGAAGTCCCAGCGGAGAGAGGAACAGAGATTCGTAATCACAGGTGGGACAGGCTGCTCAAGGTGGAGGTTTTTTTGGCTTATCAGCAGAGCATCACAGGATTTTAATGAAGTCAGGCAGAAAGACTTGAAGAAGAGAAACCCTTGAAAACCTTCCAGTTGTACAGGCAGACAAATAGAGAATCATTGCCTGGCAACTGAATAAAAAATTATTATAAAACATAGCCAGGTTTAGGTCACATGATTTATAAAGAGAGAGTACAATTATGAAACACCTTGCAATGACTTTAATCATGGGATTTATACACTATTGTATCTTTTAAAAATACCAAATGAGAGTCAGACATTTGATCATGTCCTTATGTGACATAAACAGCCATGAGCTGATTGAAGAGATTCACTGGAGTTCTTTGGCTCTCTCATCTTGTGATCAGATGTTTCATTTCATAGGACAGTGTGATTTTTCAGCATATGTTTTGTGCAATTATTATTATTTTCCTTCAGGCCCCCTTCTAAATGCTTGCAGGAGGGGACTGTGGCACTATGGAACCTGGCAGTGCCCTGGAGATTCCACACTTGTTGCTTCCCCTGTGTTATCTCCTGTGAAACACTAACTTGTTCATGGGGATGCTGTAGAATATTGATCAGGGGAGAAAATCATTAACACAAAGTAGTTTTCCACATCCTGCCACATAGCCATTCATGCAGTTGATGTTCAACTTTGGCAGTGCAATGTTTGGGGTGTGGAAGCCTTTATTAATCAAATATTTCAAAACAATGGCCAAATCTCTCCAAATCTGCCTTGGCATTTGCTAATTTCTGTTGAGCTGCATTGATTTTTCACCCTCTATAGAGCCTTGTCCCTGTGAAGCTTCTAAATTGAGATAAATACTGTCTTACAGAGCTTTCCAGTGATCAGCTGGAAGCCTGAGGTCCCCTGGCTCCATCTGGGTAATAAACTGCAGATGCTGGATGCCTCCCTCCACCTGATGAGCTGTCAATGTGCTGGATAGATGAGCTGTCAGGAAACGAGAGAGGTTTCAGGTTGAAACAATTCTTCTTTTTTTTTTTTTCTTCTTCATAAAGAAAAAAAGAAGAAAAAATGATTCTGTGAAACGTCTTGATTTCACCAAATCAGCATTTTTTCCAATGAGTATTGGTTCTGAGGGAAGCCAGAGGCCCTACAAGTCCAGCTGAATTTTAGAACACTGCTACTGTACCGCTTTTGAGTGAGGAGGGTTTTGGGACTCAACAGCTTGAGCTTGGTTTGCTGCATTGCACAGGCAGAATGGTTCAGCAGTGAGTCATGAGGCAGCGGGAAAACAGGGGGAGAGTTCAGTGGGTAGGGTAAAGGCCTGGAGGGTGGAAAAGTTAGTGCTATAGCAGGGACTCATTTCAGGATCCCTGAAACACTTGGCCCTACGGGATTTTAATGTACATAGTTCTGAGGTGGGTGTTACCTGGACATCAATGAGTGTGGTGGCTGGTGTAAGGACAGAATGCCAATGTAACAGGCAGTGGGTGTGGGTTTTGGAGTTTCCATTTAGGGAATGATAGTGGAAAATGTGGCACAGAGTAATCTCTGTGCGAGAGGTAATAATTTCAAACACTTTGCTCCACTTTGATTTCTATCTGCCGTTGTTGTGTTCACTTAGGAGCATTCCTAGGAAGAACCCTAAGTAGGTGGAACTGGATCCTGCCTTTCTACATGCAATGGGAGCTATGCTGTTTATTTCATTAAGAGTTAGATTGGGCCTTTAGGAAGAGAGAGTTTAATTACTGCTAAAATGGAATGGATCCAGCTCACAGATTCTTTCCTCAGCTTTGAAAACCTCTCCGGTAAAGGCAAAGACGTTTTAAAACAGAACCAAGAATCCACAAAAAGATTAAAAACTCCATTTCCCAGCCTCTCCTTCCAGCACAAAGGTGGCCTTAGCAGATATGTTTAATATTAAGACTGCCCAGGACATGGTCAGTCTCACAGGCAGGCTTTTGGGCCAGTTGACAGCAGAGGAGAGTTCCCGTGTGAATGCTGAGCGCTCCGGCTCTGCCGAGCCAATCCATTTCTTCAAAGACCAGACAGTGCTGAACTTAGTAACGTGAAAAATGCGACTTTTAAAAATTCTATTTTAAGTCCACAGCTGGATTTTCAGTCAATTAGGATGTTTCTTTTCTTGTGCTTTCTGGTTAAAATATTACCTTAAGTCAACCAACTAACGTTTCAGCCCTCTCTTAAAATATGGAAGGTCAAGGTTGCACTTTTTTGAATTTTCAAGAGCAAACTTTCCCTTCTGATCTTTTATCATAATTCCTGCAAATGGGTGATGATCAGGATCTGAGGTTTCTTTTCTAAAGATTTGCTGTTTCCTGATAGGATGGAATACTCAGCCAAAGTATCAGTTTTAATGTCAGTGAGATATTGAAAGTCCTCTGAATAACTGGAAGCTGCAGGTCAGGTTGTACCTCCACCTAAAATGATCCTGACGTAGAAAAAAAATTATTAGCATTATGAAAGAGCTCAAAAAAGCTTTTGAGGTCAGAATTAGCCTCTAGAACTATATTTTGATTTTCTATTACAGGGCACATAGTGTTGGTCTGGTTTTCCCAGGGTTTCAGTCATACCATTTGCCAGCAGTTTGAGTTAGACTGCGTTGCAAATCACTGCATTACCTTATAAAGCACTGAGGAAAATTTTGTGTCTTCTGCCATAAACTATTATGTCCTAACAGCTTACTAACAGCATTTCATTTTTCCCTGAGTGAAAAT